CTCATGAAAAGTTTTAATTATTTATGAGGGTGACTAAGAAAAAATATATATGGGTAGTTCAAACACTTTACTATTAACCAAAATGCCACGATTCAATCTAAGGGAAAGAATTACCTGTTCAATATGATAATCAAGAAAACAAGGATTCTACACGTTAATGCACGAAAATGGTACTCACGGTTTGAGAGGCGAAAAACAACAAGAAACACTTATGCGACCGGCGCCCACAAATCCGCAGCACTGCTCGGCCTTCCCTGCTTCGAAATCACCACGAATGGAAGCTGTGGAACCATAGGAAAGTCTTAGATCACAAGCCTATCAAGGTAACAACTCGTGGGGGTCCTTCTTCAAGAAAACAAGGAAAAGACGTTTTACTTGTTCAAAGAATTCAATGTCAAAACAAGGATTACAAAAAGTTCGAGAATAAGACAATAGGAAACTTACCCCACGTATTCAACAAAACGAGCCGAGACACGGTAGACTTGTAGACTTCTCTTCACTCTTAGATGATCAGCAGAATAAAAGGAAAGACAAAGCCGGGTTCCGACTTAAATACGATTTCCATTTCCATTCGACTCAAGCGACCTGAACAGCTGTTAAATGAAGCAACTCCGTTTCACGGACAACACACAATGGCTACAAATTTTGACCTTTAAAAATTTAATAGGAAAAATACATAAATAAAATATTTATGTTTTATTGAATTGAAAATAAAATTATAGGACACATGCAAATATGCATGAAAAAACTGACAAAACCCTGCATACAAAGGAATATAACTAGGTGACAACTTCACACTATTGCTTTATTTTCTTAATTCAACGTTCTAAAACCTGAAGTCTGATTTAATAATTTTGATATAAAAAAGTGAGTTTTTGAAATAGCTATTTATTTTAATTTTAACGAATTGATCATATTCTATAAAGAAGGTCAAATACTACTTAATTGTTATTAAGAATAGGGAAAAGAAATTTAATTTGGAAGAAAATATAAATATGTAAAGGTAAGTTCTAAGGTTAATCACGGCTTTCGGAACGTACACCAAGTGTCAAAATAAATGCTTTGGTGTTTTGTAAACAATAGGTTCAATTTTATTTTGTAAAATTAATAAGGTTATCTCTAATGGAAGCAAATGAGAAAATAGTTAAAGTTATAATTTTAAGACAAACTAATGGTTCTATTTTGTATCTTGGTGGTTGATAGATTGGTAAGTACGAGTGGAAGGTTGTCACCGGTTAAGGAATAATGAAATGATATTAATAAAAACAATTTGGATGCCCTAATGGCTTTATCAGAAAAAAATGGTAAGTTCACATCCTTAAAACAATGTTTAGAAATTACAATATATTTGAACATTACTAGAGAAGACTAATAAAATGTTGTGAAAGTTAAAATAAAACAACATCAAATTTTCCAGTGTTACACAATATTTTGTAGCTGAAGAGATAGGAAAAAAATAATCCTGGTTATTTATGAGTTTCTCGTACATCACTTAATTTTTAATCGATAAATTAGGAATGTATATTTAGTCCGCCATGAAAGTTTTGGTTTTAAAGGCATATGAATTTAAGTGTTAAAGACTTTCGGTCAGTTGCACAAACCGTGAAGATTCAATGACGCTTTTGAACTCTAATGAATGTCAAATCTGTATGCGTAGTGTCGCTTTAAACTAATGGCAATTTTAATGAACGTTTTGCAACTAGCAGTTTATTTTTGAAAAAGTAGGTGAATAATCGATAACTCTTCACTTAAGGTAAAAGAAAACAGACATTCGTAATCAATTTGATATTTGCTTTATATGCGGAGAACATATTGATATTTAAAGCAAAGATTGAATCACTGGTTCAGTGGAAACGTGAATATAAGCCAAATATTTGCGAATGGTTGAAGTTGTGCTGATAATAATAGTGGATGAACATAGATTCTAGGGGTCATGTTTTACAACCCTTGCTAGCTATAATGTTTCTTATAGCTGATTCAATAATGTCATCTAAGCTTGGAGACTTGCCAACAACTTAATTCTTAGTCAAAACTGTGATCTAATAAAACGAAAGGTCAACCGTTGAGGTCAAAGCCTCGAAGATTTGATACCGAAAAAATTAATCGACCAAAAGAAAAATCTGATCGTTTATAAGAAGTTTTATGTCACATTAAATAATCTCTCGTTTAAAATAATCATGGATATGAGTTCCATCTAATTTGGAGTATGTTGGAAAACATTTGATTGAACTGTGTAATGTAAATGTTTTAAGTACCTACTCAAAAACGGACGGACGAATGTAGCCAAGACATTCGACATGTGCAAATTTTTCAACCACTAGCTTTTTTTACCTGTTAAATACAGCTTTGTATTTGTGAGGAACCACTTTATATCGAATTTTAATGCTTAGTTAAAGGCATTAAAATTCAACACTATTTTACCCACATAGATGAACATTCAAGTTCAAAATATTATTTATCCAGTTTTTTAATGTCCCATGAAAACACAAAGCCTCCAGTCGTTATGTAAATCTAATCGCCAAGGACTCCAGTGCGGTCCAAAACTTTTAACAGTTTCATTATGTTAAACGAACCACTTAACGATACTTTTGATAGTTCGAGAGTTTACTGAATACTTTAAAATACTTTGAGTAACTCCGAAGAAACTTAAATACTGACTTTCATGACGTAGTAAACTTATCGAGAGAAAGTCGTAGTCACATTAATGGGACCTTATCTATTTTTCAGTCAACATGAGTCGATTAACTGCTGGGCTTCTTCTCTGGATTATTATTACATTCTTATTGCACTGAATAACACATGAAAGTTTGACACATGAAAGATCAAAGTTTGCCATTACTTTCAATTTTAGAATAACTGTAAAGAGTTTTTCTTCTGCTAAACCGAATACAATAAATTAAAATGGAGGATTATGATATTAAATAAATAAACATACATTGCTCAGATTCCAAGATGAGTAGCGAAAGCCCCCGTATTATGGAGTATTAATCGACGTGTTTTTGTAAAATCATTTACCCGAAACAACTTGAATAACTTTGCCCTGCAACAAATTGCGTTAAAGCTTATTTTGACGTAGGAATAAAATTCAGAATGCAATTGTACAAACCAAAATATCAAACAACGTGGAGCAAACAACCAATCTTTATTAGTAAAACAAATCGAATACGTTAATTATTTTGTCATATGTATAGAGAACTAAATAACGCTCATTAGTATGATTACATATGCTATATTACACATAATCTAATGTCAAATTTAACGTCAAACGGACGAAAGATCCGACAATCGTCTCACGACAATACGCGTTAATACGGCAAGGTCGAATGTCATATGATATAATTTAACAGTCCAAATATTATGCCTCTAAAACTACGTTTAAATTAGGGGGCGTTCATACATTTGGTTTCCAAAAGTTTTCCATCGCCAAAAGAGTTGAATCAAAGTTGCAGCGGTGTCTTAACTATAGCAATTAAATGGTACGATTATTTTATATCGAGATCGCAATCTGAAATCAGTATGAGTTTCGATAATTTTCAAAAAAACGCTGTGAGCATATTATCATTTTGAAAAGAAATCAGGCCAACTTAGAAAGTGTACTTTACATAAAAGGCTACAACGCATCCCAATTGACTTCTTTATAGCATCAAGTCTTCCCGGGATAGGCTCTTAAATGCAAGTTTTACGAGCGATGCATTTCTATCAGTATACAAGTAGAAGTGTTTCGCTTTAACAACGCCGTTTGTGTTGGATCTAAGAGTTAATTTTAAGCCTCCGGACGTTTTATTGAAGCTAGTAAAACTTGGAAACTTGTTCGTGTAAGTCCCACACTGTTCCTACGAGAAAGAAAAACAAAACTTTTTATAACCACAAAATGTTCTGGTTGTTTGGTAACTGAGCATTTTTTGGAGATTATGAGCTTTTAAGAAGCGGTGTTATTATTCTCGATGCATTTTAAAATACAAAGAGCCTATATAAGAACCAATACCAAGAACAAGTCCTGAGCGCATTACAAAATTATACAAGACCTCTTTTTCGGAAAACAGAGTAGACCTGTAATACGATATTAAATAATTTGACACGATTTCCAGGACAATTATTTAAATTTGTTCTAAAAACACTCGGTTCACACGATTATTCGGTTATGCTACAGAATGGCCCCTGTTTCATAGGTATTTTAAAATAAATATATCATGAGTTAGTAACTCAAATCATTTGATTAATTTAAAACTCTGAGTTACGAAATTCTATAATTTAATGATGTCAAACATCATAATAATAATTTCAAATATTTTACTCCAAATTAAGACGTAACCATTTATACACTGTAAATTTAATGTTTTTCTCCGAAATAACTAGGTACTGAAATAGTGAAATTGTTGACGAGTGACTTTAAAACGTTAAAGCAATTAGTTTATAGTGCTACTCTTTTGAATATTATTTGATTTGTAAGTAGACGTCCATCTATTTTTACTACATTTCTCATAAATTCTATTGTTATTAAGCTATTAATTCCTTCTCATATAGCAATCTATTTATGGTTGGCCTAACTATTCCTATTAGATGTCATAAAAATCAAGCACCTCGTGGATACAACTCAATTGTCTGGAATATATTTAATGGCAAACTAATGACGTAACGACATGTTTATTATCATCATATCATTAAAACGGGATGGCACAGTCAATTCTAGCACGTCTGGTCTCTTCCTTGCTTCGGAAGACACGTTCTGAAGCCACAGAAGACACGCTAAGTAAAGTATCTGCCGTAAATAACCACCAATATGCATTAAAGTTGCGAGGTAGGTCAAGGCACATTCTCCCTATTCGATTCCATCCCTAGGCAAGGCCTGTTGCCCCAGCTAGAGGGAATATAGGCTGTTGATGATGACATTTAACCGACATGTGTCTCGAGACATTTTCATGAAAAATTATTGTTAATCTATCATCGTGCAAATATAAATACAGTTGAAAAGCATTATTTATTAAATCGTTTGTACTCACTGCCACACAGGACATATGTCGCTACAGGACCTGTGAACAAAGGAATCAATTGTATTGAAATCTGTTGTTTTGACACATACTAATGTTTTAGGGTCTCCTGCCTAAATTCATCATGTGGAAACCGATTTCGTATCTGAAAAGCCAATAATTCGTTCCTTTCTAATGTACTTACTTAAAGGTAAAGCACATTTCGTTGAATGGAGATCTTTTTCAAATATGTACCTATTAGTTTTCTCTATTGGCTAGTCCTGTTACTTCGTATTATGATTAAATCCTTTCTTAGGATCAGTTATTAAGTTAAAGACAGGGAATAAATTAAGCACAGATTAGATAAAAAAATATTTATAAAACACTGTATCAAGTCAAAGAATCCCCGACTTGATACAGTCATCTATGCAGAAGACTTTTTTTTGTTTGTTTTGCATCCTGCAATCCGAAATTATTGAACCGATTTCAAAATTTTCGTTTATTAACGGGAAACTTAGTTAAGCTATAGTTTACGCGGGAGAAGTCGCGAGAAAGCAGTTAGTATTTGATATAAAATATAAGTATATAATAACTAATAACAATTAATTCTGAACTATATTGAATTACAATATTAAGAAAAAAATATTTTAGAGTTTTAAAATAATCACTAACATGACATAAAATTACTATTGTATCTGCAATACCGGTGCTAATTGGTGACTTTTGCCCAGATTTAGCTAAACCGCCTTCCTCAGATTTTCGAAGTTACGTTTTTATAAAGTATATATAAGTATAATTCATTAATCAATAATAAAAACACAGGAAACATAATAACACATAAAATAAACTGCTACCATCCGGGGCTCAATTCATTTCAAGGACAAGTGATGAGTGATGACGCTCCAGAATAAAACTATTTGGCGTATAGATTCGACAAGTTCGTACTTCAATACTTTTTCCATTCAGTAAAATAACATTTAAACGTAACAAAAATCTATCATTTTCAGATGATTCCGAAATTTTGCAAGCTCAGTGGTTAGATATTTTTAATATACAATTTTTCCAAAGCACGAAATGGTATATAATTCGTTCTCTATTGTTTTAAATGTTCCAATGGCAACAAATCTCGCGAAATCCAAACAAAAATGTTGTTTGTCTTAAACAGGTGCAAGTTAGGGTGGCACAATCTTAGAGAACATAATGAACAGTGGTACGGGTGTTGAACGTAAGAGAACTATAAAGGAAGACCGATAAGATAGATATATGTCAATAACACCCACCCGCGAAAAGTTCAGTTACTCCGTGACCATGGTCCTTGTAACAGCGCCAATATATATGTATAAATATAAGACTCATGGTAACAATCTCACATTTTACAAATATTATCATCGACAATAAATACTCTTTATATGAGGAAAATTAAAACCACGTTATATTCACAAAAAGGCATAGAAGGTGTATGTTATAAAAAATTATAAATCTAAGATTTTATTAAGCGCGTCTTATGAATATTTAACAGAGAACTCGACTTCTAATTTGGCGTTGTTTGTAAATCGCAAACATTTTTTAACTTCATTGAAGGATATTAAATGCTAAGTAATATAATAAAAATATGGTTTGAAAACCAAAACCTAAAAATAAAGAAATTATTATATGTATTAGAGTCTCTGAGGACAATAGTAATAATGAATTACATTTAGACTTTCAAAAGTCTGAACAATCTCTGCAAATATTATCAAAAATAGTTTTAAAGGTGATATTTTATCGTAAACTAGTCTCTTTATGGTGCTTCACTTATGTTGTATCTGGGTATTTATGTTTAATAATCTCACGTGCAGTAAAAAATCGGATGAATACCTCAGGGATACTCTACCCGCTCTTTAGCTTATCGTCTTTTACATTTACGTGGTTTTGGAGAGAATTTACTAATAATACATGTTTTTTTCTACTATTGGTCATAAAAAATGTTAATAATGAATCAAAATTAGAAATGAATTCAAAAGCACCTAGAATAGAATAATTTCTTTAAATAGGTGATCCAGTCACAGAGACTACCTTTCACAGTTCCAGTTCATTTCCAGTCATAATATTCACACTATCCTGAAACTATGACAAATATAATATTCTAGTCTATGAAAATCTAAGAGAAAGTTAATTAATTAGCACGTGACATTAAATACTATCATTACTAAACATTTAATTCGATATTGACTTCTGCTTCTGAAACGTAAACTTCATTTGGTAGCTTAAGAAAATCCAAGTAGACAGATACCCATTGGCTTTCACCTCACGGTTTGCTCCGATACCGCAAATTAACTTTAATCAAAGGCAAACGAGCAGAGCGAAACTCATTGACCGTGATATTGGAGATAATATAAATTAAGTACCTCGTCGTAGAAAAATCGTTGATATGATAATTTGAAATAAGTAAGTTATTAAAAAATAAAAATAATGTGCAGGGTATTTATGATTTTCAAGAGTTTTAATATTAATGAACACCGTCTTACGAAAAGTAAACCTTCCTGATACAAAAATATAGCCAATATCTGAATCTCAAAAACTAGAGCTATTATTAGAAAGAAATGGAGTGTAGATTTGAAATCAGCGATCTCGAATTAGTAACAGCAATGAAATTCCGGGCAACAAAAAAAAAGTTGGATTTTATTCGCTTGTGTAATCATTCTTATCATTGAATGCTTTAATTTTATTATGTTACGTGTTGATGAGTATAAGAGACTATGATATATTGTGATCCAGTTAGCTAGTTTTCTTTTTTTGATCATGGGTAAAGTTTTAAAGCCCTACACACGCAAGTTTCGATTTGTGTTAGGGAGAAAAACTGTAACCAGCAGAAAAAAAAAATAGAGTGCAAAATGATGGAAGGAAGGAAGAGTGATTTATCGACAGAAATAAGGGATAAAATAAAGAGAAAGGCACTTTGGTGGTGTGTGCTGTACATCTTGCACCCTTGCTTATGGTAAGCTGTGTAAACTGAATCGGACTTTGAGCCAGACCCAAACAGCCACCTCGGCAAAAACTATGCAGGATCAATTCAGACAACTGTCAGACAACTTTAACAAATTACATAGCATATTGCATATTTTATTGAATATACTTGACGTTTTTGTGTTTTTGAAATATTTTCATACTTTTCAGGGTCTGTAATTAAAATGTCCAGAATTTATTGAGACTATTGTTATGATTTGATAAAAGATTTGTTTTATGAAAGCTTTCATAATGGAAGTTAAACGTTACCAACAAAAACCTTTCATTATCCGGGCGGATGAATTACCGGAGTGTCGTTTAATTATCGAAATTTTTACTGCTATCGTATTTGTTTTCAGTGACAACATTCAATAAAATGCTTTGAAGTTTTAATTAAGTTCAAATAAGGTCCCGATTATCCCCGAAAATGAATTGATAGCGAACTCAATTCATATTTTGATTTTATTCCCACCAGACATTGTTTTTTTTTACTAATAAAAACCATTACCACGTTATTTTGATTTTTTAAAGAAATGAATTAATGAACGCTACATCTTAGAAGCACAAATTGCTGGTAATTGAAATGGCCCTATCATATCGATGTTAGTAGCACAATTAACAAGATAGTATCATCGTTAACACAACATCCGGGGCTCAATTCATTTCAAGGAGAAGTAATGAGTGACGACGCTCCAGAATAAAACTATTTGGCGTATAGATTCAACAATATCGATCTTCAATACTTTTCCCATTCGGTAAAATATCATTAAAAGCGTGTGTATTTTATAAATTTATCATTTTTAGAGGTTTCCGAACTTTGCAAGTTTGATTTTTTTATACAGCATCTTTTCCATAGTACAAAATGGTATAGGTGGTATGTAATGGTATCTCTGTTATTATAAATACTGGGAGTCAAAAGCAGTTAGGGTACCTGTTATATTTTCTATAAATGTGTGTGTAGTTTTATCTGAAATTTTATTAATTAATGTTGGTATTCGAGTGCTACGGAACGGACGAACAGTGCTACGGAATTCTGAAATATCAATATAAGTAAAATTAAGCAAATCTAGATTCAACAACATACATTACTTAAATTCCGAATTAAGCAAATAATACTGCTTATATCGGACACTAGGAAGGTAGCAAAATTACCAGCATCTAGATTCTGGCTATTTTACATTTTGCCACTGTATAGAATATACAAAAGTTCTACATTGCCTCAAGTTGAAACTAATACCTAATATATGAAAACTTCTTGATATTCAAACAACTCGACCATGGAAATCATCAGAAAATAAAATATAATACGTATGGAAAGCACAAGAGAATAACAAAATGTGAATCAACAAAATATGCAAATTACAGATTAATAATTATAATCTGTCCCTAAGGTGTTACATAAAATATGGAGCAGGAAAATTTTAAGCTGTTTAAGCAGGTCCCGGGTCGGATTTAATGTAAGTTATATTCCAAAATATCTTCTAGTGTAATACTATGCTGGTTTTAATCAAGGTAATGGGACTTTAGGAGTTTATCAAAAGCTGATTGGTTTTCTGATAGAGAAATTAAATGAGGGTTGCAGCGGACCTTTATGGATAACAAAGCAAAGTTTTGCGAACATTCTAACTCCATTATAAACCGACTACAAGAGATAAAAAGTCCGAGAAAATATTCATTAATTTTAGGAGTTCGTGTCTTTTTTCACTTTTCAAACTTGGTAGTCTCAAAACATTTGACAATGTTTAGATCTGCAGATGTTGGCACCTGACGAATTGTATAGTAATAAAAAGTAAGACTTTATTTTTCATCAAATCCTAGTGGTAGTGGATCAGATCTTGAAAAATCTGCAAACAAATTTTCAATATATCGTCAACTCACTTCACTTCATCGTTCTTTGTCCTACTTAATGATTTAAAAAATATATACATAAATGAGAGCAGACTGTCAACAAATCAGTCAAATTCAAATACATTTATTTGGCATACCAATATTAGTTGGTAAACAATTTATCGAAATTCGTTTTTAAGAGTACAGGGTACACCTTTTGCCGATTTCTTTTGTTGCTATAAGCAAAACTC